CTTCCAGGTTTCTACCAGAAGAAACTAGAAGAAAATGTTTCTTCCATCCAGAAAAAAATACTGGAAACATCAACAAGAAACTTCCAACCCTAGTTAAAGCAGACTTATAGTGACTTGTAGTGACCTGTAGTGACCTGTAGTGACTCCCACATTCACATTCTGGGAGTCTGAACAACAGATAGTCTATATTTCTGCCTTTAGGTGGAATGAGATAAAGAAGACAGCGATCAGGACGTCCCTCACTGCTGACAGTGTGAAGTGGAGCTCTAGTCCACAGTGGTTTCATCACCAGTGGAACATTTGGTATGCTCTCTCTGTTTTAGACATTTATTGGACAGGGCTGCATTTTTAATTCTCTAATTCTCTTCAATTCTCATGAGACCATCTGATGTTTTTTTTTCTCCGGTTCCATGTTTCAGCCTCACAGGAAGCTAAAAATCGGCCCAAATAAATAAACAAATGAGAAGGTTTACAGTTACATTAAAATTAACTACATGAGATGTTCTTTGTTCTCTGAGAGCTTTTCTTCTCTACTTAACCTTTAAATGGTGCAACACCCACACGATTAAATCTTATGTGTACGTTTTGTAAGAAATACGTAGACAACAGGAACAAGTTACCCCGAATATTCACACTGTTACAGATATCAGTCTTTTTAGGTCCAAACTCCAGATATATGTGTTCAGACGGGCATTTAATACGTAGCAGTGGTGTAAATATTTCATAATTTCGTTCCTTTGTAACCTTTCTGATTTTACTTTACTTTCCTATTGTGACTCTACTTATTTTGTTAAGCACTTTGGGCAACTGCTGGTTGTTGTAAAATGCTATATACATACATTTTGATTGATTGATTGATTGATAAGTAGAAAGAAATACAAAATACAGTGAATGTAGCCTTGAATACAGCAGTAAGGCTCAATAATAAAACTGTCCATATTTTAGGCCCTTTGAACTAATTTTAATTTTTCAATCACAAAAGGACAAAAAAAAAAAAAAAAAATGGTCTCTCTTCAGGGGCCCCAGGCTGCTGATGCTGAGGGAGGTTCTCCTTTAGAAATGTTAATGATGATGAACGCAGCACTTACTGAGACGCCCTGGTATCCTCGCTGACAGGCCAGATGCAGTGGTGTCAGGGCGTGGTAGTCTGTGGCGTTGACTGGAGCGCCTTTATGAACCAGCAGGTCGATCAACTGCGCCTGACCTGCAGTACAAAACGCAAACACCCATTCACAGGCCGATCTAAGCCGAACCAATGAAGCTTTGTGTGTTGTAGCAGCAGCTCACCACAGATGGCAGCAGCGTGCAGTGGGGTGTAACCTCTGTCGTCTCTGGAGAACGGCGTAACGACAGACAGGTCGTTCAAATGTCTGAAAAAGAACGTTTACAACTCAGATTAGTTTAAAATCTGTCCACTGGGTGGCGTTTATCTGACGCTCGCTTTGAGGAGAGCGCACTGCCTGGATTCATTCGCTTTAAGGAGGAGTGCTGCTGCTGTGACCATCTGTTTAATCCTGGCCCGACACATCAAGTTCAGAAAGGATACGAGCATCAGTCCTGATAGACTTATTACCAATCCTATTTTCCATCGTGTGGACGGCTGCTCACATGTGCATCACTTACCTGAGGAACAGGTGAGATACTGACTCACCATCTGCATCCTTTAACAGAAAACACTCCCTGATCTGCTCAATGGAGGCTGCCTCAAAAGCCTTTAGGACTGCTGCTAATATTAATTCAATTCTATTCAGTTTATTTCTATAGAGCCAATTCACATCATGTCATCTCAGGTCCCTTTATAGAGACAATTCAACCAGACCATCCATTCAGATTGGTTAAAACTTTTCTACTTAAGGAAAACCAGCTGATTGCATCGACTCATTGACTCTTCAGCAATCTCTCACACTAAGCATGCTTGTAGCGACAATGGAGAGGAAGAACTCCCTTTGAACAGGAAGAAACCTCCAGCAGAACCAGGCTCAGTGTGAGCGGCCATGTGCTGAGGCCGACAAGGAGACAGAAGCAGATATAGAAAAAGAAGAATAGATACAAAAGCCAACTGTCAACCAGCTCCACAGACGGCCCCGTCTGGTTTGTAAATGTAAATATCAAGAGCAATAGAAAAAAGCAAAAACAACCTTACACAGGGGGGGGGGGGTTTGTGGTTCTACTGTATAAAACCTGTAACTCAACGCTATTTCTAACATTTTGAATTGAAAAGGCTTCCTGGATGGGAAGGGAAACATCTTCAACCTTGGAAACAAAGTCCAGTGGATTGATTTTAATTTTTTTTGGAAAAACATTTAGAGACATCCTGTGATTTTAGCTCATAAATATAACCACTATCAACAGATTGTGGAAAAAATCCAGGAAAGAAAGGTCTGTCACTCTCAAACAGCATGAAGTTTTGATAAAGTTGTTAATAGCCGTTTTCTACTTCCTTACAGCACCTCATTTTCTGCACAGAGCGTCCGTGTGTCAAGCACCATGAGCCCTAAACACACCGTGTGCTGCTACGGGAGCT